TAAAGGAATTTGATTTCTGAAAATAAAGCAATTTGATAGGTTTCATGAATAGTTATTTCATTTGCTCCTGAATTTTAATAATTATTAATTATGGGTAACCCTATAAACAAATACCAGGTCTAAAAATCTATTAGGATCAGCGGAATTTCCCAATACAGAGACACGGAGAGAGAACAAGCACTCTTAGAGAAATGGTGGCATCTTAAAAGTTATAATTAAAAGAGCAGATGAAATTCAGGTAAATACAGAAGGGGCTTTCTATCATGATGGCAAACTTGGTAGTGTCTTATAATAAGCCTATTTACTTCTCATGCACAGGGTGATGGTGGGCTTTGGAGCAGAACTGTTCTCAGACTAGACCAATTCGTAGCCCTCTCACTAAGCTCCCTTTCAGACATGCTCCTCCTGGCTAGCAAAGCGTGCTGCTGAAGATGCTTCAAAGAAAAGAATTCTTTTTTCTCCTAAGAAAGCAAGTACCTGACCACTCAGGCTATAGATTCAGCAGTGTTTGCAGCACGCAGCAAGTGTGCCCTTTTACCAGTTTCTAGGAAGATGCAAAACTAGTATGTTCCATTCAAAACACGTGTGAAGTTGAGGTCTCTTGTTGGCTTGGACACTTGACAGCAACAATGCCAGGCTTTCTATTTCAAGGCAGGGGGATTTATTCACAGTTTGTCCTTCCCACTTATAATTGCTCTAGTGAAGAAGCTTAGATGATAATGTTCAGATGCACTTTAAGCTCTGCTCATTGAATACTTTGGGGCTAAAATATTAAGTCCGTTAAGGTTGTAAATGAGTTTAAATGAAACCCAAGAACTTGGTTAATGCTGTTCTCTAGAAAATTCAGGAGTCATATCTAACTGCAAAAAGGTTTAATGCCTGCCATCACAAGAAAAAAGTATAAAATACTTACTTTACTTCATTTTCATAACATGACTCCTGCAATTACAAAGGGTCTGCAATGGTAAGACTTCACTTTCCTTTAGCATATCAGCCTTTCACTACTAGTATAAGAGAAAAGGGAGTTAAATATAATTCTTAATTTATTTTTCCTACAGAAAGAGATCTTCCAGTGGGCCTAGATCAAAAAATCATAACATGGGAGCTGGTGCAAAAGGAACATTATCTCGTAAACCTTGAACAAGAAAAGAAAGAAAGCAATGAAGAAAGGCTGAAGGCCACATCTAATAAGTATGTTATTCTGACCTACAATAAGTGTAACTTGCAAGTGCAGCTTTGAATGAGATCAACATTGAAGTGCTTGTAAAGGTTATATGAAGGGTCCAACTGGAATGCACTTAGGAAATACACAGTCCATGAAAAAATGTGAGAGGCCAGCATCACTACAATATTAGAAGAGTTTTTGTCACTTTCGATGTACAACTATAGACCTGTAAGTTCCAGCTAAATCTGCAGTCAAGTTTAATGGAAATTATATTCATGAAGAAATGGTGGAAAAACAGCTGGTTTGCTATGCTGTAGCACATGTAATTTCATCCCCTGTAGGAATGAAACACAGGAATGACACTTTTTGATGGCTTAGACTTTTGAATAGAAGTTTAAGATACCTTGAATTAACCCCAGCCCACAGATGCAGAAGAACAAATATTTATGGCTTTATGGCATGACGGAGTCTCCATTTACGTATTTCTATAAAATATCTCCCCACCAAGAATACCACTTAAATTGGTTTAGTATGCTAAAGTCCTAAGTTGGTATTCAGAGGTTTAAACCTTTCAATGAGACACAAAGTAGTTATACACAGGGGAAACAGAAACATCTAAGGCAATACTGAAAGCCAGACAGCAGAGCACTCTTTAAAGAAGTTTTTAATACCTGTTCCAGCGGTTTCCTCTTAAAATAAAACTGACTTCAAATAGAGGCACAGTGGGTGTGAAAGTTACCACAAGAAGAAAGTTCCATGGAAATTGTCTTGTGCTCTCTGCTTTCTTTTGAAACAAACCTCCATCTAACTCATAGAATAGTTGGAGACCAAAACAGTGTCCTTACATACTCTTCTCCCTCTAATTTACATGGACCCTTAATTCATAATAATTTAGAATTATTATATTGGTTTAAGCTTTATTCTCATAAGCAGATCATTGACAAACCCCAGGAGTGAGAGCTTAATTGTTCAGATAAAGCAACAAATATGTGTGTAATTGCTTTCAAACAAAGGGCACTATTATACTCTTTTCTAGTTTAAAGCCGGAATGCTTTAAAGATGGTACATTGTAGGTGAGCTTACTGCTTGAAGGGGAAAAGTGAGAATCTGTTCAGCTTCACAGTATTTCAGGTATAGGAGAGCCAGAAAGACTAGAAAAGGTTCAGATGAACACCACCAAACCCATGGCTTTTTATCTTTGCTCTTAGGTGGTAGCAGTGCATTTTTGAAATCTTATGAAACCCTCAGAAAGTGATTCTTTGAACTTTGCACTGAACCGATCTCAAAATGCATTAGACCCACCCAGCAGCAGGTTTTTCACATAGATGTGATTGGAACATAACCTCTTAGAGGGAAACTTTGAAGTAAGTAGCTAGGAGAAACTGGAGAGGGATTTGCCAAGCCTATGGGGAATCAGATGCTAAGAATAAGGAACTGATGGGAGAAGAGCTGAAGGATGCAGAAAGCATGTGGATAATTCCATGATTTGGAGGCACTATATGGAAGTTCCCTACACAATTCCTTTGGACTGCATGAAAAAATGGATTTGAATGTCAAGCCAGTTCCCAAAAATGAAACCTTGTGTAAATTTTAGGTGGCTTACCTCTCCTGTGTAGATAGAAAATATTGTGGCCTCAGTTCTCACACCAGGATCAGTTTCCACTTGGTACAGGTGGGAGAGCCACATGAGTGGCTGAAGAGACAGAAGGTTCCTTTCTGCTGCCCTTGATTTCCACGGCAGCTGGGGCTACGTGGCCCTCACCAGAAGCTGAAGGGCTGCTGTGATCTGAGCAACAGGTGCATGAGAGTGTTCCAGAGATGCTGCTCTGTCCAATAAATACTTCCGGGAACACTTCAAAAGGACAAAACTTTTAGGGGGCTCTGGGATGTCTGAGCAGCACAGAATGCAGTGAGGGGCCATGGCTCTAGTAAGTTACCCAGGGTTTGTGTTTCACAATTCCTTCTGAGGCCTTTCCTTTTTGCTCAGTGTGTTCTGCTTTGTTTCCACAGGGTGGATAATTTGTCTAAATATTTTACTGGATTGAAAGAACAAGAAAAACGGTTTAAAGTTCTGGAAGCCCAGGTAAGTAATAGTTTTATAGGCATTTGTATCAGGTCTAGGATTTCAACATATTTCTCTCATTTAATAGTGGTTTGGCAGACCCCATTTAGGGATAAAGAGAAGGAGAAATGTATCTGTGTTTTCTACCACTGGTAGAAAGGAGAAAAGGGAATACAGCATTTTTTGCTCTCTTTGCTAGTCTACTTGAAAAGTGTTTATTTTCTTTGTTAAGGATGCTTCTGGAATGAAATGCTTCATCTCCCCCTCCCCCCCCTTCTCAGCCTTCTCCTAATCTTTTCTTTCTTTAAAACTGCCAGCTTGAAAAATACCCCTATTCTGCCTGATCTGACCTAATCTTCGTGGACATCGGTTTTTCTAATTTTCTCAAGATACCAGGTAGGAGCATCTCAAAGGGAAGTGTCTAACATACAATCACGAAATGCAAATAATAGCAGGAAACCCTGTCTTTCGCTTCTGATGACAAACCCTTGAAATATAAACAAACATTTCTTAATCAGTCTGAAAATGTTCAGCATTACCAGGTGCTATGTAGCACAACTGCTATTGTTTTCTTTATCTCTACACTCTCCAGTGTAATTTTGGCCTTGCTGGAAGTTCCTTATCTTAATACTCCTGTTACAGTTTCCCTTCCCTCTCTTATCCATTTTATGGCTTCCTGAAAAAAGTCATGTTATACAGGTCCAACAGGAACACACAAGGAATGCTTTAGTAAGTTTATACCAGCTTGAGATAATGCAATATACTCAGAAAAAAGGGAAGGTATCTAATCAGTAACTATTTTGTAGATTTGCTACTGTACAGCTGTTATCTCCTCAATGGCAGAGGTCTTAACCAAAACCAACCTCCTGTACACACAACCAGCTCCAAACTATACATGTAAGTATTGAAAATGATTATGGATGAGCTAATTAATACAGCTGAAGAATGTAGTTAAAAAAATGCAAGGGGAAAGAAAAGATTGAAAAATAACCACATAAGGAGGTACACAGAAGTAATGGGAACATAAGCAAGGAACAGAATACTAATACTTCAGAATGAAAAAAAAATCACCTTTTGCAAAATACATTTAAAAGCTTTGGGGAAAGGACTGTCAGTGTGAGTTAGAATAATCTCACACAACTTCAGGCACATAAACAAGTATCTATTTGCCACAGAGGATTTTCTTGGGGGTTTCTTGAGTCAATGAGATAGTCCGACTGAAGTATTACCAAAATATTTAATATGGATAACAGTAATCATTAAAAATAAAAATTGAGCAAGTCTTCTACTTTGTTTTAATCAACAGAGTTCATTTGCCTTCAGAGCTGCAATTATTTCTGTCACTTAAGAATCTTGTTCAGTGTCCCAGGGTTCCTGTTTGGAGTTTAAAACATTAGACACAGAAAAAGACTATTTCTCGGCCACTGCAGGATATCCAAAACAGTAAAGATTCTGCATATTCTTCTACATGATCTATTTCAATATCTACCTATTTCTATCTGTTACACAAAATACCCTTCAAAACCCATAAACCGAACATACTACAGGGGAAAAAGAAGTAACTGGATAATTCAACAAAGTTGTGACATGACAAGACCTCAAGTCACTCAGACTTGAGCTAACCTCAAGCTTTACTTAATTCTGTCAGAAGCTTATAAAACCCTTATGTGAATTGCTTCATTATCAGCATTCAGTAAGAAAACCTATCCTGTAGCAGGCTCTCCAGGCATTTTAATACTGTAACCGCATAAAAATCAGAAGCTTAAACAGCTGTAAAAATAAACCTGTGTTTATCATTTACTGAGCAAATGCAAAGTAATAGAATCTACAGTATCCTTTTTTTCAACATTTTTAAGTTTCATAAGCAATTACTATTATGTTCCCCTTCTCCTAAGGCTTTTAAACAAACACGTGACTTTTACAACCCTATTAGGTGTGATGAATGCCAACACAGAACGGCCTTTGCCAGAAAGAAGTGAAAGCGAAGAGCATGTAGATCAGTTTGAGAATGACATCGCATACATCGATAATTAAATTTATTCTTCTTTCTTCAGATTAAACCTTTTGTCCTACTGTACTACTGCAGGAGTAAAATCCTGATCTCAAGAAGGCCTAAGGGCCAGCCCTCAAAGCCTTTACACTGAGCACTGTCAATGGTTGACATTACTGAGGATTTCTCGGCCTTCCTGCTTCAATTTTTGGGCTTTCTTTGCCCCTGCTCATATAGCGGTTTTCTGCAAAACCATTCCACAAACAGCACTAAAAGCTTTCTCCTCCGGGGTGACTCTACCACTTTATTTTCCAAATAAGATCTGCCTTCTGTTCTCCAAATACCACACCCTCAATCCATCGCCATCATTGCCAATTTCCACACTTCTCTGTTTAAGGGAGGGTCCCTTTGGAAGGGTGATCGTTTACGCACTAAAAACCAAGCCCCTTCCTTGGCCAAGAAAGCAAGCTCGTACTTCTGAGTTGCTTAGAAAGGAAATCATGAAATATTTTCCACAGGAAAAGGCCTGGGATACGGAACTATTACAATTCATACAGTTCCTGGAGTTCCTACAACCCTTAAACAATTGCATTCACCGTCTTCCCACGCTGGCTCCTGTGAGGTATTTCTTTGCTGGTATTCCTTACTGAGAACTCCTCACTCATCCCCAGAAACTGGAAGCTTATTGCTTGATCCTCAAGCGTGCAGTGGCTTGCACTCACTTCCCAAACACAAAGTATTTGGATTCTCCCACAGTCAGACCGCCAGCTTCTGCCACTTGCTTTTTTGTTGTAATGCCTGATCATGGCTGCTGCCAGCCTCCCACTGTAAAGGAGCCCTTGCCCTGTACCACACCACATGGAATGCTGCATCCACACCTAAGCGGTTTTCTGACTGCATTTTACTTTTCTCTCTCAAAGGTTAGGAAAAAAAAAAATCACCAGGAGACCTTAAAACAAGTATGTGTACCAAGAATTATCCCATGAACTAGGAATCTGGACTGTTTGCCGCTTTTTTTCATTACTTACACTGGCTTGTACATTTTTAGCACGCAAAAGCTCGCTGGCTTTATTAGAATTCTATACGAAAAGATACACCAGTAAAATTAGTATTAATACTGTTCTTCAAGGGGAAATTTCTTTGGAATAATATAAACAGCATCAGAAGGGGGAAGTATTGGGCTGTGTCTTGTCTTACACTGATAAGCTTCAACTGCATTTCCTCACGCATATGATATTGCTTCTACGCAATGTAAATGTAGGTTGCACAAAAGCTGTTACCAGAGGTGGAAAAAAAAATAAATCTCAGCTCTGACAAAAATACCTTTCAGAAATGAGTCTTTTATCAACATATATTAATCTTGTTATAATGGCTTCATAAAACAGGCATTTGTCCAGTTTATTGAGCTGTGCCCCAGGCCTCTGACTCCACTAACAGCAATGGAACTCTGGTAGTTCTACCTGTTCTTCACCCTAGGCAAGCACAAATCATAAACCCAGTCTGTACTGAGCTACATTTTTTTTGTTAAGAAGTAATAGGTATCCTACAACCAGCATGCCTTGCTCTAGGCAGCAGCTTCCACTTCGAAATGGCTGCTATTTGCATCGTGATCCGCACACTAATTATCCACTGGAAACAGAAATCTATCCATTTGGAATTGTTATGTCCCACTCACACGTACTGGAACAACCAATGAATCTACCAGTGACTCCTTAATTAATGTGCATCCAACTCTACACTCATTCTGCTCTTAAAAGGTGGATTTCAAAAGATGGAGCACAACTGCTCATTTTACTTTGTTTTCTGCTTGTTCTGCCAAATGATGCATCTGTTCAAACATGAAGACCCCCCCCAAGTGATTTGGGCCTACCAGTCAATTACTGGTAAGATGGACCCCCCTCAGAGGAAGTCAGCCCCTCAAACACCCTTCCAAGTTTGAGCAAGCACAGCCTACCGAGAAATATCACAAATTCTTAACAAGTCATCTTTCACTACACAGTTAGAAATGCCACCATTGGGTTGGTTCATTTAGAATAGCGGCAAAAAAAATGTGAGTCCAAACTGACCTGAACTAATCTGAGTTTCAAATCATATAACCTTTCAAAGTATTTAATCTTTCGACCTTATTTATTAAATTTACTACATTGCATATAAAACTACTATATTTGTCATTCCTTACAACGTGAATCATTGTATGAGATGATTCATCCCATGAGGGGATTATAAATTGTAAAATGGCTGAAAATGTTAAAAATGTGAATTTTAGAATCTATGGGACTTGACGGAGAAGTTAACAAGATGGTAAACTTAGAGTAACACTCTAAAAGGTTTTCAAGACAATTCTCAAATCAAATAAACTGAGTATTTGTTAAAACTTCTACTCCTGCATTACTCAGCATGGTTCAGAGATGAAGAAATCAAGCTACAACCAAAGTTTATTGCATCACATAGAACAAAAAAGTATCCAGTGCTGGTATAAATATCTAATTCCCACAAATACCCCAATCCACACACAGAATCGGTATGGAAGCAGCTCCTCCTGGAAAGGACATACAAATGTGCAGATCAAGGATAATCATATCATCATAATATAATTGGGCACTATTGTGCTTTCACTCTCAATGGTAATGAGAGAAGGATGTTTTTGAAAAAGGTTTTCTTCCCTGGGACAGGGCCAGGAGAAACCACACCTTGTGGAAGACTAGGTTTTATTTTCACTGTTCAAAAATCTCTACCTAATGAGTTCATAACCTTTTCTCCAGGATTCCACAGGATTTGAGAACAACTCTTAAAATTGGGAGTTACTAGGAAGCCTTGTAGCCTTTTTGCTAACACTTCTTTTTCTTTGGATACTTCAGCTCCAGAGCGAGCCCGAGGGAGCTGTGAAAGCGAACAAAGCATACCTTATTCTCTCCTGCTAGGGTGCAACTATCCTATGCCCACAGATTTCTCCTGAACAAAAAGTCTGGAGTTTATTTTAGGTAGCTTGATTTCTAACAATATAACATGTTCTTGGTGGCTATGACACAAATTGTTGGACAAAAAGCTATCACGTGGTTTTCAGAACAGGAAAAAAAGGGAAAAATATGAGCAAGACAATACAAGTCCTTGGATTCCTCCAATGTGCTTCATCCTTCAGGACTCTTCCTCCTCCCCTTCGTCGTCTACTTTAGGTCGGAAATTTTTCCTACTCTTTTTCTTACTGCAGTGGAATCCAATTGTTTCCACTGATGGCTCTTCAGCTGCACCACTAAACCTTGCACTAAGGTTATCTTCTGTATTCTGGTCCCCTTCCGTCATGCACTCCTCCTCCTCTGTTGCCTTTCCACTGTCACTGTCTAAGTGCCCCAGCTCTACCTTATCTTCTTCCCTCAAGTCATCAGTCTTCTTAACAGATTTTCCTTTCAGATCTGTCTTCATCTGTTTCTTATGATCCTCCCCTGTTGATCTTTTCTTTTCAAGTCCATCAACACCTCTTTTAGTTGGTTTGGTGAAGACAATCCTCCCAGCTCCGCAGCTGGAAGGGTCCTGGTTGAAGTATGGGGTGTAGCTATCTTGGGTAGCTGAGCTTTGTTCCTCCCCTCTTTTCTTCAAACCCTCTAGAAATTCCATGGCCACTGCCCTGTTAGTCTTGTCACTAGACTCTGAAACTCCCTCTAGGCTGTATTTGGTCCAGCGCTCTGGGTGTGTCACGTAGTCAGGCACTGCAGGAGAGGTTTTGGGAGCCAGCACTGGTCTGGCTTGCTTTCCCATGTTTTCTGGAACCATGTTACCTGAAACTGTGGTTGGAGGCAACGGACGCTTAAATCTCCCATCAACAACATTATCTTCAGGCATTGAGGGCACAGACAGCTTGGCCGCCTCTTCTAGGGAATCAAAAATGCTCTGGCTACGGAGAGAGAATGTGGAACTCATGCCCCTCAGATGGAACGGCTGGACTGGAGATCTGTGACTGCTGTTTGAAGAGTCAGGAGTCTCCCCTGATCTGTAATCCCCATCATCTACAGATGGCTCCTCAGGAGATATTGTATCAACTTCTGCTTCACCTGCTAACCCCAGATCATCAGAGTCAGAATCGCTGAGCGATATGGTGTCTGAGGGCAGAGCTCCTTCATAGTCTCTGGCATCACCGGCCACGATCCCCAGAAAGGGTTCACCTGCCTCCTGGTCTCCCATCTTCGAGCTGTCACTCCACTGAAGTCTTTGACGGAGGCCCAGGAACAGCTGCAAATACAGTTTTCCAAATGCCCAGCGAGTTTAGTGCCTGGAATACAACGGAGCATAAAAACTTTACTGTGAAATGAGAACCAAGTATGAGACCATCATTCTGTGCCGTGCAAAATAATTATTACTGCAATATAACAGGCAACTGTACTTTAGGGATTCTTAAGCAATTTTCCTTCAAATGAAAACATTATTTAAGGAACGAATGCACATTAAAATTAAAGATTTACACAAGACTGAATACAAGAATATGAAGTAATTAAATACAGTGCTACACACCAAATTTCATTGCAGGTTACAGCAGGTCCAATTACTGGAAGACGAATATAAGGCTTTTGAGCAAATCTGAATCCCACATAACTGTCTTATGCATCTTCAAAGAGACAGCAATGACCTTTCCAAATTACACCCTGTGTTTATTCATACGGTAAAAATCCACAAAAACACATCCTAATTTCTCACACTTTGATTTTGCCATTATGATCCTTTTTTGCATTATACCTTCTGTCCCAACAACCATCACGTTCTGCCTATTGTAAAGGACACTATAAATGATTGAGGCCAGTGGCAGGAACCCCACAAAAATATCAGGGCCAGTTTCAGGTCTGCTTTAATGTGGCACAAAGTACAAGCTCCACTCCTTCCTTGGCTTTAAGCTCTCGTGTCATTACTAGATTCCAGGAATCAGAAAACAAGCCAGCTCAAGAAATCAATCCCACTGGATTAAAAAAACTAATCGCACATGCCATGCTTGCACATGGAAACAAGGGGAGATTGCAACCATGGGCATCCAAGAGCAGGCCCTTCAGTCAGTAAATGACAGCGTGATGTGAAGTCTGACTTTCAGAAGTAGCTGGAATACCGACACTGCAACCTGCTTGAAGGGAACCTTGCTGAACTGAGGCTGTCGATGATCATGCCATCACTTGCTGGGCAATAGGGAACAAGAGTTGGCAAACATACCCTTTGGTTCAACTCACAGAAACGTGAATTATGAAAACAGTTCTAATATATTATTAGAATAAGCTCAACTACCTAATTATAGGTTTTTCTGAAACGATGCAGTAAACAGACATGGAAAGTCTGTGAGTCACTCACTTTCTCTCCAGACTGAGTCAGCTTCCCCTCCTGAGGGTCAGTTAAAGCCACCAAAGATCTCAGCACTTCCACCCTAGAAAACAAACATTTCCATCAAGATACTGGAAATGTAGTTTTAAAAAGTTTCAAAAATAATTCCTTCCCCCTGAATCATCCAAAGCTGCAGAACCAGGTTCTAAATCTGACACAAACTCATGCTAGTATAAAAATCTGCACATATTCCTGGATTTTTGGCAAAAGAACAACACACAGCCTAATAAGGCAGGCACCACTATATTTACTCAGTCTCCACATTCACACTGCCAACTTTATTCTGTAAAACAGAAGTTTTTTAAAAAAAATCAAACCATAATTTGCATGTGCAGAAAGCTACTATTAAATAAACGGTATTAAATGCAGTTAAGAAAATAGAAAAACAATAGTTATGCGTTGCCACTACTAAGTGCTGCTAAGTATTAAGGCCATGAGTAGCACAGAGTCCTGTTTTCAAAGAAAGGTTGTGTTTACAGTTAGGGCCAGATTTTCAAGAAGCATAAAACATAAAGAATCTTCTGAAGAACCCAACAGACTGAGTGCTGTGTTCCGTGTGAAGTCTGGGTGTCTTTGAAAAAAGGGATCTGACGACTGCCTTTGAAAACACTGCACAACATGTATTTCCTAATGGGAAATAATCTTCTTAAAATGATAGGCTTTGGAACACATGAAAAGTAATGACTACAACTCAGAGGAGGCACTGAATCACATAGCTAACTAAAACAGCTGTTTTCAGATGGCACTAAAAGTGTTCATTGCCAGCTGTGAATCAGGGCATCTCTTGTCTGAGGGCACTTACACAGAAAGGAAAAATTCTGCTCCTAAGGAGGCATTTTAGCCTCTACAGCGTTATTAGCCAAACATGCTGGCCCTTACACCACACCACTCACAGGTTTGTCACAGCATGATCACAGCACGACTCGGAGAGGACGGCGTCTCTCCGCATGGGAAGGTCCCCATTGGGCTCTTCCATCCTGGTCTTGCTCAAACAAGCTCTGTGCGTCTTCCTGCAGCCTGTGAGGAGAACGGAGACCCCCGTCACCCCAAACCACGGCCACGGGCCCAGCGCCCTTCCCGGGCCGGGATGCTGCTGGATACAAACCGCCCCCACCACACAAGCCCTTCTCGATGGCCTCTGCACCCTCCCGCTCCCGCCCGCCCGGGCACACGGCGCGAACCGCCGGGGAAGGGAAGGGGGATCGCCCCGTACCCCGACAGCGCACGGGCCCAGCGTCTTCCACAGCAGCCGCCCGCCTCGCCCGCCTCTCCCGCTCCGCCCATGGCCAGCGGCGCGCCGGGACAGCGAGTCCCCTTCGGCAGCCCCGGGGCGGCCAAAGCGGCGGCGGGACCACAGCTCCCGGCGAGGAGAGCGGTGCGGAAGGGGAGGGAGTCGCCGGTCCCTCCGCGCTCCGCCTCTCTCCGCGCTTCTGGGAGTTGTAGGCGCCCGCTTTTCCTCAGAGGGGGACATTTTGAGAGCGGATTTGTGGGGCGAGAGGGGGCTGAGCGACTACAGCTCCCAGGGCGCACCGCGCTGCCCGACATTTCGCAGCCCGTGCTGGGCCGGTCTCGGGGCCCCCGGGGGGAGGGCACGGCACCGCCGCCTCCCTCCGCAGTCTGGAAAAAAGTCGTCACAGCTTTTGTTCTCATCGGAAAAGCAGGGCTTGGCCGCAACGAGAACACTTCAGAGGAAGTGTCTGGTTTCTTTGTGTTTTGGTTTTTCTTTCTTTCTTTTTCTTTCTTTTTTTTTTTTTTTTACCTTCTTAACGTGTTTATTTTCAAAACAGAAAACCCCGAGTCACTCGAGGCATAAAACCATTATCCGTAACAAAAAAAAAGTTTCCACTGCCTGTCCCAGAAGAACATTTTTTGCGCGTGTGTCAAGAAGCAGAGCTCTGTCTGAAAATGTTTTATTGGTGTTGGCCAAAGAGGCTTGACCTTTTTTTTCCCCTTATTTCAGCAAACAGTTTAAATTTTCAGCACAAATACGTTTCCCCCGTGGCTTCAGTATTCAGCTTGTTTTCCCTATGTTTAGGAAAAAGTATTCGGTGTGCCAGGGGGCTTTGCCAGGCAAGGTTGTGGCTGTGGAGGCTTCACTGGCTCCTTTCAAGCTGGGCCTCACTGTGAGTCACCCATAATATAAACTGCAGCCACTTCAAATGCATCCTCAGTTTTTAAATACATACTTTTGCCTGCTGGAGTGTTGCTAATTACAATAATTTATGAGACGAGGGCTGTGTTTGGAAGGCATTTGGCAGCAATGATGGGATTAGTGCAAAATGTCTTCCATCTAGCTGGAGTCATGCTGTAGTTTTAAACCAACAGTTTTAGAGGTGTTTCCCCATTTAGTGATCCCATTTTTTTATGTATACACATTTGGCAGTATGGTCACAAGAATTCAAATGGGTTCTCGGAGGGAAGAAAGGAAAACATGAGTCTTCAAGTAGGTGAGCAGAAATGGAAAGGAGGAGGGCAGTAAACAGGAAAAGGCAGCAAAGAGTAAACCCCGGGTAAAGGCTACCAGTGCTGTGTAACACTGTCTAGTGCACCAGGGACAGAGCAGGAGTGAGTCCTTGAGTGTAGTAAGGAGCAGGCAAGAAAAGGATGTGGAGTAAACAGTGGCATGCCCCGTTTCTGTAAGGCTAGAGACAAGCAGGGTACATCATAGACTGGTGCAAACAATGGCACTGTTTCTTGTTTTGAACACTGGTTCTGTGTTAGATCAGGGGCTCAGAGGGGCAGAAGAGGGCAACACTACCTCGCTGTATCACATGGGGATGTGTGTGCTTTCAGGGACAGGCCATATTTCTCCATTTCCAGAGGCTACAAGTTCTCATTTTTTTGCCTGGATGCTGTGAATATTGATAACCAAGGTCACCTTTGGAAGCTGAATGTACGCTTTTCCTCCTTCCTGTTTTTTTATTCAGAAGATTTAGTATTGCACACTGCAGGGAACTGGGGAAGAGCTGCTCATTCTCTGGTGGCTGAGGACAAGACAGCTTGCAGCAGTGGATATACTGGTGTGTTGGGATTTTCGCTATTGCTTGGCGACAGCTGAAATAAAAATAATGAGTCAGAGTCTGAAGACGAACAGATGGTAAAGTGTTTTCCCCTTCCTGGCCTGAACTGAGGTGGCTTGAAGAGGGTTGGGGGCTGGAAGGTGGATCTGAGCTGCAGCACAGGACATCATCCAAATGAGCGGGTTGTATCCAGTGAGTGGGCTCCAAGGGGCCACTCAGTCACGGAGATGGCCCCATGTGTCTGCAGGAAGCCCTGCGTGCGGGGGTGGCATGTACAAATGCACACCAGCCTCGGCCCCAGTACCGGCGCCTCCCGCTCCTGTCTTGCAAATAAATCTGTTGTTTGGCCCCCATCCGGTGACTGTTTCCGCTGCTCTCTGGCAGTCTCCTGCTGCTGCTCCTGTGCTCAGAGCCTGGGGTAGGCGCCTGGCAGGGACTGCTGGCCCCTCTCCTTGCGGCTGTAGGAAAGTGGCAGGCAATTCCCCAGGAGCCACACAGATCCTATAAGCCAGACAGAGCAATAAGATGCGTTTTCACCATCTCCTGCATCTGGAAGGAGTATGGAGGTTAGTTAGATGTGGCCACATGCAGCTCATGCTGGAGGTCCTAAGGGGAGGTGGGGAGGGAAAGGATTATTTTACTGCAGGCAAAAAGGAAAAGCAGAGTCATGACCACCACATCCTTCTCTGCTGGGAGAAGGCAGTCACACCAAGCCAGACTGGTACAGGCTGAAGGAAATAATAGAGTTGCCCTCTCCCATTTGCCAGAAGGAAATCCTACAAATGGCCTTGAAATCCCCTGTGGGGCATTTCCAGAATTCAGTGCTTCACAGCACCTCTCTTCTACAACAAGCTCCGCTTACCTGTTTTACTTTGCATGTTCATTTGGTCCTGGCTCACCTGAAAGCACGTTTGATTTATTCCAGTGCTGTTTACCCATGTTGGTGCTATTTCCCCTTAAGGTAACTACATAAAATTAGTTCCTGTGGAGTGAGTTTTAATGCAAGCAGGCTATGAAGGTCTTTATCAACTTGATTCTTCACAATAATAGTGGTATTGTCAGCCTATAGAGGACCTGCAGGGAGACCCTGCAACCCCTTTTTTGTTAGAGACATTGCATGTGTGGGAGGGAACTGAAGTCCTTTACGAGCAAAATTAATACTCTCTGCAATTACTTGAATTTTTAAAAGGAAACAAACAGTTGGGGGTGTCTGTTCATTTTGATTTAGCTAAAGAATATTTGTACTAAAAAAATCCTTCTGCTAATCTGGCTCCTTTTTTCTTTTTCCTGTCATTGCCCCAGCATGCCTGATACCAACAGCAGTGATGAAGGGCTGAAAGGGGTCGAGGGAACCAGCTGAGGGCCTTGAAGTTTACATTAACAAAAAACTCAGAACCCTAAAGCTCCCTAGATCTCTTGTTTGAACAAGACCTAATGGAGTTTCACTAACCAACACAACTTTGCAGCCAATGCCAAGCCTTGCATTTAACAGCACTAGTCCTTGCTGGAGGAAATCTCAGCAGTTTACTCACAGCCGGCAGACAGGGTGTTGTGTGCATGCTGTCTCACCTGGCCTAATACCACCACCTCTTCGGTACTCAACAAAGCTGTGTTCTGACATGAGGGAACACCCTCGCAAAGCAGGGCCAAGAAACATCTTTTAAAAAAAAAAATGGAAAAGGTGTGATTAATTAGAAATGTTACTTGCAACCATTGGCACTTGAGATGGGTCATCTAAATCCAGTGAGAAACACCAGGCAGTCTGCAGCATGCCTGGTTGCACAATTTATGTACCCTCTAATGTGTCTGCAAGTGTGAAAACAACTTGGGCTTCAGTTATGCAGCAGTTTTAGCAGCTAGGAGGTGTTGTCTGTTTGCTCCAGGTCCCTGGGTACTACTGTGAAAAAAGCATCAGGCTGCCAGAGTCAGACAAGCTGCCAGAGGTTGGCTGAAGAGGTTACACCACACACTTCTGTGTCCTCCTGCTTGGGTTATGCCTTGTGCAAGGAAATGTGATGCTCTCCAGGCTCAAACTGAGTGGTCAGATAACAATACACAGCCTCTGTCTAGTTCAGGTGCACAGCGTTGTACATATGGGACTTGAGATTCGTAGTCTGTGTCTTTACCACTTAATCAAGAGCTGGTCAAGTAGTTAATTGTTTTCCTTTCCCCTTCAGCACCCAGTGGTGACAGATGTTTCCTCCCTGGGGGCTGTATTTCCACTCTTGCGGACTCTCTGGTGCAGCCACAGTTTGCAGCCCTACCACAGCCCTTACAGTGAAAAAGTTTGTTGAAGTTTGTTTTTCGGAACAATCTTGTTTGTTGTCAGCTGCTTTGCCTTAGGGCTGAAACTCCCTCCTCTCCCCTAACTGGAAGGGCCACACTGCCATGCCCAGCACAGGAAAAGGGGTTAAGAGCAGGAATGTGAGCACAGCACATCCTTCATCACAGAGCCCAGCAAGCAGAGCTGGCAGGCAGATCCAGCAGTGTGGGTGCTTTCTCCTACAGAAACCTCCACCATAAACAACTCTGGCATGGGATAGCTGGCTGGTTTTATATCCTCCTGTGAGAATATTGCAAATCTTAGTTAGAGCTTAGACAACCTCTGATTACAGAATGCAATAAGCAATTTATACATGTTAGTCGCAGCTGTCTTAGTAGGAAACCATTAGGCCATTGCTATTTAAAAAAACAAACAGTCCAGAAGAGCCTTACGAAACACAGCTCGCCAAAGCAAAAACTACCTTCAAAACTTCTCGTTAGAAACACTCTAGGAGGTTTTAATAAGAAAAAAAAAAAAACAGTTTAGGAGGGAGGAGGAAAAGAATTCCACTGGAAAAAATCCCAGCTTGGTCTAGTTTAGAAAAATTCACGCCTGTGTTTTTATTATCTGAAAATTCTTGTTTCATTAAAAAAAAAAAAAAAGATTCCCTAGTCATATTCCTAGGCATCAGAATTCCACAGTAAGGTCTCCAGTGACTTTCGAAGTCCCTCAGACCTCTGGAGAAAAATGTTAAAGAGAAGCGTAAGCCAGGGTCGTCCATGCAGTATGAGCACAAACAGGCTGGAAGCATTCCACCCACCCGTTCCCCTCACAGTGGGTTATCTATGTGGCCTCACATGCTCCTACATGGCAGGACTGCTGTTTTCCAAGAATAACCCATATCTTCACTCAACAGCACCTCAAAGGGGCCTGGTTTGCCCAGTTCTCTCCCAGCATCACGTTCAACTCATCTGTTTCAAGCACACCAGTGCAAATACTCAGACTTGAAGTGCAAAGAGGAACTGCATTTAGCCAGGAAGGTTTAAGATCCCAGCTATACTTCCAGGCTGAGGTCCCAAGGCACACACCCTGGATGCTAAATACTGCCATGCTTTGCCAGTTAGCCTGCACTATTGTTTCTCCCCCTCTTGAACACCAGCCCGGTTCTGACAGTGACTCACATCGGCTTAATCCTAGCTCCAGAGGCAGGAATAATTTTATCCCCATCTGGAGCAACAATGCAGTGCCACAATCCAAATGTTTTAAGGCATGAAGCAAAAAGCATCACATTCATGGGAAACCACCTAGAGGGTCAGCTGAGGACGGCATTCCCTGCAGCCTGAATTTTACTTGAATCTGAGAATGAGACAAGCCTGTTCCCTTGGAAGACATGGCAGAAATCTGTACATGACAGAAAGAAACAAGATCTGACAACACATCATTAAAAATCCACTAACAAGGGTGATTGCTTTGTTTCTTTTTTATTGTTTTTAAATATCACTTTTTTTTTCTTTCCAGAAGTCATTATGTCCGACTCCATTAACATTCAGGTAAACAAGTGAAAGAACAACAGATGGGCATGATCTTGTAGCACAGGCACAGCCGCTGGGAGCAGGACTTGCCTTTCTTTGCGGCAGCCGAACGTTTCTCTCCCTCGCCCGCATTCCCTCCCTCTCTCTACCAGCAAGGCCGATGGCTGGCAACTGCCGCAGGACATTTTTCTTCAAACACAGCAAGAAGTCCAAGACAGGACAGAGAAAGGCAGGCAGTTGTGGGATCACAGCACTTGGGACTCCCACTTTGCTCTCAGCCAGGCTTTCCCCTGAGGGTGTGGAGAGGCAGGTGGGAGCAGCAACAGTGGCATTACCAGACCATCCACAAAAACCAGCCCAGCCCCCATCCAGATGGCAGCAGAGGGCATTTGGGGACATTTTCAGTCACTTCAGGAGAAGCCTGAGTGTGTGCAGTACCGCCACCTCCTCCCCCCTGAATTTCAGCACAGTCACTCTATTTTGCAATCCACATTAGCTCCCCCACAGCTGTGCCCCTCTTCCCTTGAGGGTGAGGCACAACTGCAGCAGCCACCACTGCTGGCAAGCAACCTTCTTGCTTTCCCTCGGCACTATTCTGATGCATCCCAGCCTGCCTGCAGGCCCCCCTCCCAGAGGCTGTAAAAACCCGTGCTCTTGAAGCCTGGTTCACAAAGCATCCTCGTGTTAAGGTTAACTGGTTGTAAAATTGCAGCAGTTCATCACACTATGCACACTATGAGAAATGTTTATTAAATTGATTTTCGTTTCATTTCTTTAAAAAAAAAAGGCAGAAAGAAGTTAAACACACTGCTTTGTGGCATGCTCCACAGTATGAAAAAATCCCAAGCATTCAGTTAAGCTGTCAGCGGCTCTGTTTGACCCTTCAGTGTGGTCTTTGAACTCAGACCTGGTCAGTTGACACTCCTCCACCAGCCTCTTTCCTCCTCCCTGCTTCAGCTCACAGCCATTTTCTCAGCTGTCACTAGCTCCAGGAGGGATGTTCCCATGGAGAGGGAGGGGTTTGTATTTACAGCTTGCAATTTAATCTCTTTTTTTTTGGGGGGGGTTGTGGAGGGGAGCAGTACAGGGCACCATGTTGCACACAAATGCTTATATGCACACATATGCAGGAGAGGGGCTGAGGCAGAGCAGGGGTCCTACCTAGTGGTTTCCCCCCTTCACCTCAGCCAGCTTTGGGACTGACCAACTGGCAGAAGAGCCCTGTGGCTTTTGGATCCTGAATGCTTGCAGTGGGGCAAGTCCTCAGCCCTTCACAGCTCCCTCTCTACTTTGTGTTAACTCAGGTCCAGCTTCACAGGAAACCCAAGTGGGTAGTTTTTTCTGGGAGGGTTTCTCAGTTACTTCATCATTCTTACTCTGTCCCTGGGCTGACCCCTTCTGCTACAGCTGATGACCATTCCATCAAGTGTGGGGACTCAGCTGGTAACTCTAAAAGCATTGCCCTCTCCTGCAAACATCCTTCTGTCTCTTCTCCCATGACCTTCCCAGCTGCTAGCTGTTCCCCTCCTTCAGCACCTTTCCTGCAGCAGCCACAGGAACAGGAGGCGGCCCAGGAAGCTGCCTCTGGAGCTCTCCTCAGTGACAAGCCACCTCTGAAATGAACCAGAGGGCAAACTGCAGTCCCTGCAGGACAGGGTCTTAGCAAACTTCCTGCTCTTCCTCCTAAAGCTCTCAGATTCTCTCTGCAAGTACCACTTTCTGCCAATTGCTCCTGCCTGGGACAACCCAAACCCCTAAAGGTACACTGTCCAAGGACACACCTGACCTGCATTGAGACCCAGCCTGTCTTCAAACAGAGCTCCAGCTGCATACACAGCATCAACTGAATACTGAACAATATCAAAAATATGGTATAAGGAAAGAAAACAGAACTGAAATGCGTAATGGCATATTTATACACATTTATCAACAGTCAACAAAAAAGGCGGCAAGTTACACATCCATTCTGTATGCTAACAATCTCGATGCACATAGATGTAAACACACATGCTTGGATGATGCGTATACATATAGCCACATAACAGAGTAGATGACCTGAAGGAGCTACGCTGGGGAGCAGGGGAAGGGGTTACCTACTGCAAAACCTCACCTCATTCTCGATGTGCACAACATGGACATTCAGGGCAGTGTTGCTTTAAGGCTATATCTAAGGCTGAATCTTTTCTTGTCTGACCCCTCAATATAAAGATCTGTTGAAGCACTTCCTCCTCTTACCCAGCACAACTTGAGATAGATATATATATATATATTTACCTATATACTTTTTAAAGACCCTATATACTAAAAGGCAGGAATAGGAAAGGGGAGAGTCAAAGGGAGGAAAATCTTCTCAATGGATCAGTTTGCCCCAGTGCAGGAATTTTCTATGATGTAGTGGCAATGGCCATGGCAGCCATATGCAGTGAACAAGGTACTAGTTTAAAATGATCAGTGATCACAGGTCTCCCTCCCTATCAGATCTGAAGCTCTTTGTTGCAACAAAGGGGAAGAGTGAAATACTTTAAGAAACAGAAATATTCCTGAAGTGGGGAAAGTGATCACTAATTTAAACTCCTCCCCTTACCTGCTTCAAGGTGGCAAAAAGCTGAGAGATACTGTAATTTCCAGCTCAAGTGCCTGTATGGCTAAGGGAAAGGCTTTGCTTAAAAATATATATCTATAGAACTATACATACAGATAATCTTTTTAGTGACATTCTGATTTTATTACATAGCTCCTGGGTCACTCTCCCCCTCTATCTACATGGTAATGGAGTGGCATACAAAAGAAGCCACATACATCAAATTGATAACCAAAGTTACCAGATCACAAGAATGTGTTTCAACTGGTACGATCTAAAATCCTGAATTCCCTTGACTTTATAAGCTGATCTATTCTTGATATAACTGGAAGGTCTTAAAAATAAACTTTTTTTTTTAAATCAGATTATGACAATTTCCCAGCAATATTACAGTGTGTGACAATGTGCCATAATTAAAGAAAATTTAATTGAACAAGATAGTGATGCAAAGATGAAATTTTAAGGATTATGCATATGGTTGGGAACACCCAAGTGTCATCCTGCAGTACATAAAAGCAGTCTAAAGTCTGCTAAAAGATCTGCTAAAATCAGGAACTATTTTTTTAATGTTTTCTTCTTTTTCCAATATAATTTCTGTGTAAGCATTAGCTTAACAGTGGAAAGTTGATATAGAACTAGACTGTCCCCAAAACATATGTCTACAATGAAATATTGAAGGAGGTTAAAAAAGTAACTTAATTTTCAGGTTATATTTGAAAAACTGGGGCTATATTTGAAAAACTGAGACTAAAATTCACCCTCTGACCTTTTAATGTAATGAATCAATGGAAATGAGCAAATTTATAAAGTTATAGCCCCAAGGAAAACAAAAACCCATAAAACCAAAAACCATTTTTACACTTTATAGAGTAAAAAAATTAAAGCATGACCTCTGTTAAGGACTGACCTAACAATGCAAACAGGTCAGAGAGGAACAATGCGCCCGAGTTTCCCTTCAATGCGCCCGAGTTTCCCTTGGGTTACATCGCACCCAGGCAACAGAGGCTGTTTCCTCTCCTCTCCTCTCTCCCAGGCTTCAGGCAGTCAGCCAGGCTTCCCTGTGGACAGCCTGGAAATGCCAGGGAGCTGGGGTGATGGTTGGAAAAGATGAGTACAAATTAACAAAATCGCTAAAATCTGCTTCAGTATCCAGTAAAAAAAGTCAGTAAAACCAAGGCAAAATTTTTCTGGTAACAGGCTGCAGCCTTCTCCTCTGCACATCTTCCACCAATGTTACTTCTGAGTTACTGGGGGTGGGGAAGGGGGAGGAAGGACTTGATCTCCTGCTACAGCAGCTTTCCCATCACACAAAACTGATGTGTAACTAACTCAGCCACAAAGATACGGGAAAGTTTGATTTATTAAACAAACAAAAAAAAGTACTTCAAAATAAAAATGGTAAGTACTGTATGGTAATATTGGAAGCATTTATATACATAGTTTTCTTTGTCTGTTGTTGAAATGTCTCCTGGTCACTTGGTGGCACTTGGGGTCCCCTCTAGCGCCGTCTTCCCTGCTCCCCCCTTCCCCTCCCCGGCTCTCACGGCTCAGTAGACGGAGCTGTTCCTTATGCCACAGCACAGCACCATGCTCAGGATCATCTCGAAGATCTGTTGAGAGACACGGGGGCACCAGTGAGGCACCAACCAGTATGATGCAGGTCCCCCACTCCATCCTAAGGTCCCCCAATCCACTCTCATGCCAGAGGTAAGGGCAGAGATGCTACATCTTTGCTGCTGTTTTCATTAGGAGTTGGCCAATTTGAGATAAGATGATGTTCTCCTGTCTCTCTCTGGCAGCAGTGGTGTTACATTACAAGCTTCCTGGCTGCCAACTGCACAGCAAATGCCTCGAGATCGCTCCAGCATTACAGCCCAGCCTTTGTACAGGCGCCGGGTTACCAGCCCATGCCACCCACCCCTCACTAGGGAGCAAACCCAACATGGCAAAACAAGCAAATCCTTTCCCACTGCAGACCCCAGCAACAGAACACGGCACCCTGTGAAACAAGTGGTTTTGGAGGCAGCGAGCAGGTTTCAATGGTGCTCTGCCCTTCTGGACGGGCTTGCAGGTGGCTCTTGCTCCACTGAGCTTGTCACGTGCCTCCCCTAACAACTCGACTCCATGGAGGGATAACAAAGCCCTCAGTCTTGCCATGTTCCAAAGCAGCTGAGGTGCACAGGGCTGGTGCTGCATGCTGAGCTGCAGGGGCATCTGGAGGAGAGGGATGGATCCAGCCCAGCTGGAAAAGGACCACGGCACCCCGAGGTGGCTTTTCCCTGTCCCGCCATGCTGTCATGCTTACCATGATCACAGCGACCACGACAGCAGCGATACCGATCAGGTACA